ATTTCCCGAGAAGCACACGACCCGTTTCACGGTACTTGCCGCTCGTCAGGCACGAGTATCCAATAATCTTTTGTCAGTCCATTCATATACTTGTACCCAGGAAGTGTATGTTTGTGTATTTACCAGAGACATTTTGTCCGGTCGTTCACATACTACTGATTATGAAATATTCTGTAAAGACGATCAAGTCACGTTTGCTGCGGTTAGTAGCATCTAACCCACTCACAAAACATCGAATTGTAGCATTAATTCTTAAATGGACTGGCTCTGAAGGAGTTGTCTATTCTAAAATCACCTGCCTCGGGGTCCACAATCCATTTGAGATCCGTTGTCCAGTTCATTGGATCATACGTCCTTCGAACGGGGTCCAACGTCCAAGGTCCCCTATACACCTCGATGCCCATTTGAGCTGATGACCACTGCCACAGTCAGGAAGGTGTATGGTTTCTACACCTCTTCTTGGTTGGTTTGGAATCAGGGTTTAGCCAAATCCCGTAGATGAACTGCCAATGGTTAACCAACCCGTTTATAGCCCCGAATTTCGGCTTTTCATTCTCTCACTTTGGTGGGAAAACACTTCCGCCACGAGGTGAGTAGTGCTTTCTCAGCAGAGGCTATTTGACTCGCGTGGTCATATGAGAACATTTTGCGGTATAAGGGATGGGTGGCCAATCGCAACCCCAGACCCCCTCAACACCCACACTATTGTGTGATGAACATCAGAAAGAGTACCCGTTCTTCCCACGTAAACTGGCGACTTAACCCTTTTGACAAAACAAATCCCTTTCAATCGTATGCTGATGACATCGTTTGTCTGTTCGAGTGGACGGGGGACGCGCAGTGTTCCTTATAGGTTAAAGTTTTGTGTGACTCCATCCGGTATGCGCTTTGCACCTTCAGAGTGCAAGGGGACACTGCAAGACTGGGTGTCTACTAGTTCTGTTTTCTAAATAAATGGTCAGGAACTTGCTTAAGTTGACTGCTTCTCGTACGTGCGTGACCAACGACGGTAGCGCAGTAAAGGTAATACTCGTACATATTTTCAAGGTTTACGCAGTCAAGCATATGCAGCACCGAAGTGACGTTTCACTAAAGTTCAAAAGTCGCGTGTAGTGCGCCACCATTCAGTCAGTTCTGTTTTGTGGTTGTAATATCTTGAATTTGAGAGAAGAGGTTATCACTTGACTGGAGGTTTTGAACAATCGTTGCTTACATGGCCCAGTTTGGATGGAGTGAGACGGTTAGTAACTTCGAGGTAAGGCATCTCGTATTTGAGAATGTAACGAGAAAAATTCGATGTCATATCGAATTCAGTTCAGTAAACTTCGCTGGTTAGAACAGTTTTTGCGTAAGTCCTGATTGTCGCTTTCTTCCCCCTCGTAAAAGGTGCAACACGCATGCATACGTATTCTCACTGAACTTTTATGCATTGTGAGTTTGGCAGCGTTAAGTGAAGTTTACTTTGCTGTATTTCTACTGAACGATAATGATGATCAGTTATTTAATCACCTAGTTATCCTTTTTAGCTGTTAGTTTTTAACTCGAGTGCGGTTCGCTGGATTTTTTCGCCGTTAGTGTAAAAATTATGACATACTTCAGGCGTATTCGTCAACATTTGATCACATTAGGCTCTGTTAGCTTGTTCCTCCTGTCTTGAAGCTTTAACATTCCAGAGTAGACCAAATTTTGTTGCGTGATTGATATTCATGTATTGCTAACTGTTTTTCTTTGAGCACAGGAGGCGCTCGGCAGGCTGCCCCCACCAATGAGCCCATGCCGAATCCATGGGCTCCCAATAATAACCCATCGTCCACGACCCCGGCTACTCAAGGTACGAACACCAGTACGACATCTGCAGGTGGACAGAACAGTAGTCTAATGCAGAATATGTTAGATCAGCTTTCGGCACAACCAGAGTTAGTATCTAATGCATTCCAGGTGAGTCCAATGATTCTGTCTTTCCTCCTGCTTCGTTTCTGTTCGTGTATACGCTGGCTGACGAAACATTTTACTTTCACAATGCATTTAAAACAGTCAAGTATTTTGAAGCTATTCGCCCCGCATTCTCTTATTAGATCCCGTGCGCCTTATTTTTGGTTGGTGTTGCGATATCTTTTATGAACTTGACCTAAAATTTTCCCCTCCACATTCTTTTCGTAGACTCATCATCCCTGTCCTCTTGAATCCGAAAACAGCTTTCCACTCCGTCGACCGCTCTAAACTCTGGCACTTTCTTTCTCTGAAAGGTGTGCCCGGGAAGTTTATTTCAATCCAACAATCCCTTTATGCCAATAGCCGAAGCCGAGTCCGAGCTTACAGCACTTTTTCGCCCGAGTTCACCACGGAAAGTGGTATTCGTCAGATATGCTCTCTCTCTCTCTCCTATTCTGTTTAACTATGTGGCTAGATTTGATTATGGAAACAGTCCTTTCCTCGTGCTAGAATGGCGGCATCAATATATTTCCAGGTGGTAGACTGCCTGATCTTGAGTATACAGACAACGTGCTGCTTAGTGATTATCCAGGTAAGTTGCATATTGGACAGGTATGCGTTTTGCACCTTCAAAGTGTAAAATGTTACTACAGGACTGGGTTGGTCCAGCACCCATCCTCACTCTAACCGGGAAAGTAATAGAGCAAGTGGATAAGTTTTGTTATTTGGGCACCTGCATCTCACCCGGTGGACGCATCCCGGATGAGGTGTCAGCTCGCATACAGAAGGCTCGGTTGGCATTTGCCAACTTAAGACATCTGTGGCGCCGTCGCGATATCCGGCTGTCTGTGAAGGGTCGAGTGTATGCCGCGACAGTTCGACCAGTCCTGCTATACGGTGCAGAGACTTGACCATTAGGAAAACAGGATAAAGACATTGTCGGTGTTCCAACACCGCTGTCTACGCAGCATTGCACGAATCTGGTGAGGCAGCCGGACGAGCACTGCTGAGGTCAGATGCAGAGTGTTGGGTATCTGCGGTCGCCCACTGGAGCAAGTAGTCGCCCTCTATAGATTGTTGTTTGGGGCATGTGTTACGCATGTCACCAAATAGGTTGCCACGTCGAGCGATGTTTGACGAGGCAAGTAGTGGTGGAAGAAAGTCAAGGGTGGTCAAGCTAAGACCTGGCTCCAGGGTATGAAAACCCTAATCAGGAGACTGGGTCACGTAGGTCCTGTTAAGTTCCCTGGCTAAGGACCTCGGGATGATCGTAACCGATTGTTGGAGAGCCTGATTTTTCGTGCATCTTGTGAATTTCTCTGCAATATCAGCCCACTGAAATTCTTCATTTTCTCTTTGATCCTCCTTTCTCCTTTTCTTCTCTTTCTCCTAATGTTCATCCAAACGAGAAGCCGAAAAACAGCAACCAAAACGGGCGCACGAAAGTACATGGTTAATGGTTGTACAAACTGAACTAGACTGATATTTTTCTCCAAGTTTCCCGATTGAAAAGCACCGTTATTGATGCAGTTGATGTAAGACAGACGTTTCTTTTGAGGCGTGATGTGTTTTGTGGATGTCGTTTTGATCGATCTCGCAAAGCCGTTCATAACCATCATACAGGTGCTCTGATCATTGGTTTGGTTTATTTTCTTGAATATCATGAGCTACTTATGCGTATAAATTTGTAGTTTTTTCACGAGCAGACTTCTCATTCAATCGTCCTCTCCATTAGGTGCCGTATGTACAAGCTATGTTGGAAGCGATGAGTGCAGATCCTTCGGCGATGGAAAACCTGATAATGAACAATCCCATGATTGCTAGTGTTGACCCAAGTGTTCGCGAACAAATGCGCCAAATGCTTCCGCAATTGACAACACAACTCAACCAACCCGCATTCATGGATATGCTGCGCAATCCCCGAGCACTGCAGGTAATATTCTATTTTATTTCTGATGTCCCTCCTCTCTGGAGAATACAGTTGTTAACTACCATCTGTTTCCGCATTCTCCACAAGTTGAACACACTACGTGCTATGGAATTATCCTGGACGTCGTATACATCGTATATCTGGACATCGTTAACTAGTTCGCCTTTTCTCATCCTACTGTATTGCTCATGTCTATATTGGAGTTCAGTCGAACCTTCAGGTGATCGGTAGCATTTTATTTCCGCCTGTACGGTGTTCATTCTGAAGCGTGCTATGGTATACAAGCACATCCAAATGCATATCTATGCTTGAGATAAGACATCTGTCCCATCGATATGAACACTTTGTCCCAGCTCAATATTTTTAGGATTATCTGATTTACTAATTTCTCGGGGTCTGATATAACTAAATAAATCGAAATGTGTCATCGATTAACGAGAAAACGCTTGTTCACTATCACGCATCGAGGTTGAGTCCTTCCAGCGAAAGAATCTGGTACATTCTCCATTTATTGGTGTTTATTGACGGGTCCATTTTCTGATCCAAATTTCAACCAAAGTCAAATATAATGACTATTGCGATAATTTTAGTTGTCTGCGCTTAACACTATTGCTTCAGTTCTTATCGGTCGCTAGTTTGTGCAGAGAATACGGAATTTACGTCCAAGGAGCCTGGAAATGTCTGTGGGAAACGTAATCGGAATGGTTCCATTAGCCCATGAGATCAGAAACATAGGGATATAAAACAAACGAATAAAATATGTCCGAAAATTCGGAGTAAAACTGTTCTGTTGGACTTCACTGCACAAACGGTCTATTACTTGATTCACGACACATTGTTTTGATCCGCTTCATGAGTCGTTAGGTCGATTTATGCTCAATCATCATCTTCATGTGATCTCAGCGCGTCATCGGTTAGCTCGCTCGTTACATTGTTGTGTAGGATTTATTATGCGCTAATTGATTGGGTGCAGACTGCTGTCAATCAACTGTTTCAGTTAATGCGATCAGCATCACCCGAGGTCAAATGAATCAATGTTCGATACCCCATTTAATCAACATGGTTTGGGTGGCTGCTATTCTTCAAAATGGGTAATGAACTGTATATTTCGTAGATAGTTTTCATCGAAAGTGTCTGCGTCCTTCAGAGAGACATTCAGATCCCCATACTTTTTATGCTTCTGGTATCGGTTTCGAGAGCGCTCAATGTAGTGATCTCCAAAAAGCGATGAAAAACAAGAACACTCCACTGTATTAAATCAAGGTTGTTAGGCTCACCCATTTTGTTGGTAAAGGTCGTAAACACCGAGTCCCATCAGTGCGAACGCTACGGCTTTTTCGCCCCTGCTGTTTATATTGTTTTTTCATACACAGCAGCTAAATTTTATACCGATTGCGTCATCAGGGACTGGTTTATTTTTTGGATGATAGTAAGGATTATTCAGTTCAACATTGTAATGCGATATAGTATTAGCACGCATTGATCTCGTAAATATGCTATCTCTGTCTTCCTCAATCCGGAAACGGGCTTCGATTCAGTTTGACACTCAAACCTCTTGCGCTGCCTTTCTCTCTCATACGGAAGGCTCCGTTGGTATTTGATAACTTGAAACATCTGTGGCACCGCCGTGACATCCGACTGTCGGTGAAGGGTCGGGCGTATGCCGCGGCAGATCAGCCAGTTTTGCTACACGGCGCCGAAACCTGGCAAATTAGTAAACATGTTAAAGATAGATTGTCGGTGTTTGGACACGGCTATCTACGTAGCGTTGCACGAATCTGGTGAGGCAGCCGGACGAGCACTGCTGAGGTCAGATGCAGAGTGTTGGGTATCTGCGGTCGCCCACTGGAGCAAGTAGTCGCCCTCTATAGATTGTTGTTTGGGGCATGTGTTACGCATGCCACCAAATAGATTGCCACGGCGCGCGATGTTTGCCGGGGCAGATAGTGGGTGCGAAAATCCAAGAGTAGTCAAACTAGGGCCTGTCATGAGAGTATGGGAACTCTAACCTGGATACTCGGCCACTAGGTTGCGTTCGGTCCCCTGGATGGGGACCCCCGAGGTCGTTGTAACCAATGATCAGAGATGTTGAGTGCTATGACTAAGTTTCGTAAACAATGGGGTTCATGCATCTTCTCAATTTCTTTGCAACCTTATTTCACAGAGATTCTCCTTTTTCTTTTCGACTGTACTTTCAACTTTCCTGTCTTTCTCCTACTGCTTCATGCAAATGGGCAACCAGAAGACAGCAACCAAAACCGAAAGTGCTCGGTTATTGGTTGCGCGAACTGAACCGAAACTGGATTTCGGTAGAAGCGATGCCACTTTATTGCTGCAAGTGTCACCAACCTATTGGGCTATTCCTTCAAAATCAATCCATGTCTCATACTTGATCCACACACGTGCATTCTCATTCTGTTATTCATCCAATTGTTTTCCATGATCGAATAACAATGATACCATCTGGATTCTTGCACCAAGTTTGGCGCAAAATTAAAAAGGAAAGCTGATGCTAACTCTCGTAGTATTTCTGCCACAATCACGTGTCATTAGTGATATGCGCTCGCTTATACTGATCTAGTCACATGTTTTATCACGAATTTCTGCATCACGCTTAGTGGAATAATGATAACCGGGTTTCTAGTAGTAACTCTTCTCTGCTCAATTACTACGTTGGTTTGCTAGACTTGCATCTGTTTTACCTTTTTCATACACGAGACTTGTTTGTTTCATCACTGGAATTTGCTTTACAGCCCTTATCGCCACTTTCGGAGATGTCAACGCAGCGATCGATCGTCTTCTACAGTCTAACCAACGATGAACTGGACTAAATTAGGGTTGCTCGGTATTCGCAGAACCTTTCCATCTATCACCGGCATCTCGTTACTCAGCGCGTGCGAATGGGGAAAATCGGCTGTTGGACCATTGTCTACTGTCCTAATAATCCGTTCGCACATCACCTGTTTCCGGATCAGCGCGTGCTATCTGCAGCTTCAATGTCGGTGTAATTTCAGTTCACGTTCCTTCAGCCTCTTTGGACCCTATTTCATCGACTGAATATCAGCTCAGCACAAGTGCAGTAGTCAAAAATAACACCCTGTGAACATCATCGTTTTGTCCTCTGGCCGGAGCTACTGGTCACGACATCGCCCCACTTTTTGCGCGCATTCACAAGTGCAGTCTATGATGTCATTGATTTGATTGCCCCCTTTTTACCTGGTTTCTGTCACGATGATTCAGACTCGCGCATGTTCGTGCGCGCCACTTTTTTCATCCTGTCTGTTCGTCTCTTCCCCACTCCTCTGCCCCCTTCTCATGTTCGT